GTCGAAAACGTAAAAAACAAGAAATCAACAATTTGTTTTGAAGTCATCAACGAAAACAAAAAAACTGTCTATTCGTTATCTCAGTCTACCACTTACAAGTAATATTGAATTAAAACAAAAAGAAAGTTTTTCAATTTCAAAAATAATAGCTGGTAATAACAACAATATGCAAAATAACATCAATCAAATGGTTGCAAACAATATTCTACAATATGGTTTTCCAACCGCTGAAAATATAACTCAGGTAATACCTGTACTAGTGGCCCATGTTGATGATGGTCATGGAAGTACAGGTCCTCTGTACTTGATTGGATTTTGAGCTAATAAATCAATCTACAGAGCTACTCATACAGTGGCTCATCGTAAGATAAATATTCATAACTATGCAATTTTGGATGGAGATAATTTTTCTATAGACATGGAAGGTAATCAGCCCGGCCAATATGAATTACACTGGCCAGCACTATTTCCCAGCATCTGGATACCAGAATGCGATGTCCTTCAAGTTGACATAAGCATCCGAGAATGGGTAATCAGAAAAATCTGATGAATTATGTACATAAAAATGTATTTTTAACTTTTATAATAAGAAGCATCGATCGTGCCGCTGACTATAATGACCCCGACGACAAAGAAGAAGAACAAGAAGAAGAAGAAAACGACGCCCACGACGACGATGACGATCGTTATCGCATCTTCGGTTATGAAGATTATGAAGATGATTATAGCGATGATCAATACGATATCGTTAGTCTTCTCGAGGAACAAGAAGAAATCGAGGCCACCTTCTCTCTTCTTGATCAAATAGATGTAGAATGGTTCGACTTTAACCATAATAATCAACATCAACATTAGCTTTTTATCCAAATCGCTCGAACGATATTCTTTTTTTTCATTTTAACAGTAGCTGTAACTTTATAAATTGTACTAGTTCATGCATGTATCAATGTGTAGTGCTTGCCTTCGTCTTCGAAAAATTGGAAGAGAGTAGTTCTTTTTCTTCAAATAAAATATAAACAATCTGCTAGTGAATATGGCTATCCATCAAAAAGATGTTATTCAAAAGATAAGCTAAAAATTGACAATCACATTTCAAAACAGACATTTTCACAAATGAAAAAGAAAACATTATAAAGGGATGACTTTTCTACTTCCCATATATCGTCAGAGCACATCCATCGCAACATATAATGTTTATTTATTCTCAGACGAAAAGAAAAGTAGGAATAATTAAGAGCAGCAGAGAGAGAGACATGTATAAATACCGAGCGAAAAAAACCATCCTCCTCTCACTTTCAAAACATCGTTCATCGCGCAACTTTCTCAATTTCACATTCATAAAAAAAAATTAAAAAACAATGGCATACAGTCCCGAATTCGTTAAGGCAATGATTCAAAGTAATCAACTCCATTTTGGCCACCTAAAAAATCCAGCCGCCGAACTTGTGACACCACCAGTTTGGCTAGCAAATTTCAAGGACGGCCATGGAGGAACTGGTCCTCTTTATCTAGTTGGTAGACTTGGTCAAAAGCCAGTCTACCGAACTACCAACGCGGTAACTCACCGTGAGTAAAAAGTTTCAGAGGACAAACATCCGAACATTTCCTTTCATTCATTTACAGATTTAAAGAACGAAAAAAAATGTACTGTTTTCTGACCCCCTCTTTTCACAGACATTTGGCTCCCTCCCTGTGATATTGTCCAAACCGACATTATCATCCCCGGCACCGTAAGCACAATACAAAGTCATTTTTAGTCATCAAACTATAGCCATCTCTTTTTTCCACATATAGGTCCCAGCATTAATTAAATTTATGGACGATGCCGAAGAAGAACATGAACCCCAAGATGGTCACGGCAACAACACCTATCATCTTGATTGAGTCAATCGGCACCCTCACCCATCCATAACACATTTCGTAGTATTCCTAAAGTTCTGTTCAAGCTTTCTTTCTTTCAAAATAAAATATTTTTTTCTTCACTCATCTATCTCACTGACCCTACCACCATACACCATCATTATATACCAAAAATTACTCCACAAAACAGCATATGCAGCTAACTTCACAAAATTCAAAACTCATGCCCAGCATATCGAACGATAGACGCCACCAACAAAACCATAGCACACTTGTAACGCCATTTGAATGAAAGCATACAAAATCATACCCATGCCACTGCCGACGTTGAACAGAGAAATTCTCTCTGTTAGAAAGTACTTCTTGTAGTTAATTTCATATGGTTAGATTCAGAATTGAATCTAGTTTCTCATTCATTAGCTGTTCGTCTGAAAATACGAAAGACGAGAAAAAAGTGAAAAGAAAAACAAGAATATTTTTATGATCATGCGGTGGACGTGGAAGAGTGAATATCTGGGTGTTGAAAAGGATTGAGTTTTGGTTTGGTTTATATTGGCGACTGTTTGATTTTTTGTGTTCGTCTATTGAAAACGCTTGTAATTCATGTATTATTGTTTTTTGATTTGATGGATTTCAGATAGAATACTTTCTGTTACGTCGGGTGAAAACTACAATAATGATTGAATGTATATTTTGTGGAAAAGAATGTGTTAATTATTGTTGTTCATTTTGTGAGCGTATGTCGCGTGCGGCGAAATTCGGTCGATTGCTGCTGTATTTGGAAAAATGCTCGGAGAGTGTGTTTGGCCTTGATGCGATATATTTTGCTGTTGATCGAATTAAAAAGGTGCGGATTGATTTTAACTTTGCGATCGGAGAAAATGTTTTTTTTTACAATTTAGATGGAGCTAATCAAGCTGCCTTTGGAATTTTATCCGAACAATATGTTTGATGACAAGATAGATGTTGTTGATAGTGTGGCAAGGCAGTATCTGGAAAAAGCATCAATGGATGTGCGTCATCTTCTTCCAGCAGACGTTCCGGGTGATGGAAATTGTCTCTATCACTCTGTTCTTCTCCTCATGAATAATTCTGTTATGACGACAAGCGAATTAAGGGGTGAGAATGTGCTTTTAGAAGTGGAGGACTACTTTAGCAGTAGTTTTTTTCGCTTTTAGTTCGGACGATAGTCGAACTGATAACGAATGAAGCGTATTATTCGAATATGTTGGCTAGTGTCGTCCGACCCTTCGATATAGCTATTAAAGATGTGTGTAGAAACAACACATATTCGGAGTTATACGAAATTGTTGCTCTTTGTACCGTGGTGGGCTGTAACATACGAAGTGTTTATCCCGAAATAGATTTTAGGGCAGATATGGTCATTATGAATAATGTGTTTACGCCTATTCCACCAATTACTACGAATTATGAAATAAAAATTTTGTGGTCAAGCATGTGGAGTGAAATGAATATACGGGCCGTGAATAATAATCACTGGAGCCCGAACCACTTTGTTCCTCTAATGTCGCCAGGTATACGGTATGAATCTGATAGTACGAGTCGGATTAAATTAATTAATAACGTAAATGAGAACTTTTTTATGTAAATATTTCAGTAATCATCACATTTATTTTCTGTTTTCCGCAGACGCCCGAAAAGAAAACGACGAAGAATAATATCGATACTCACGTACGAATTCCGGAATTTCAGTCTTCACCTAGTAGACGTTTACGTAGTGAAACTGATACAACTAATGGCCATGTTCAAGTAATTGATGTTGACACAACGGGACAAAATGAACGAGAAAGAGAAGATCAACATCAAATGCGACTTGCCACTCTAAGAGACCGTGCTCGTTCGAGACGAAGTAGTGAGACAGATGCCTAACCTCAAGATCGACTCAGAAAGGATCGAGCACGAGCCGAAAGTCGACGAGCTCGAGAAACACAAGAGGCACGTCAGAATCGACTAGAGCAGATGAAAGGACATGCTCGAACTAGTCGAATGAATGAATCAGAAGACGATCGTCGGGATCGACTAGAGCAGATGAAAGGTCATGCTCGAAATGGTCGAATGGATGAATCAGAGGAAGGATATCAGATCCGGATCGATCATCAAAGAAAACGAAGTCAAGTCAATCGAATCAACAAAAAATTGGAAAAACAGGCAATCAACAATACTATCCTTCATCAACGAGATATCAATGACCAAGTATATGAAAAAAGAGACTATATTCATCGTGCTGATAGTCCTATAAACGACATTATACTAAACGATAATGCAACAAATAGGAACAAAAGACAAGATTTTTCAACTTGGCCAGCACCAATCTCCGCTCAATTGAAAGAAGAATGCTTAAAGCAATTCCTTCAACGAATGTCTATGGGTGAACTTGCTGAAGTTACTTGTGCAATTTGTAATGTCGGTAGTTCGAAACAGCAATGCAAAATAGTTCCAATTTCAACAATATCTCATAAGGATTTGCTCAAAGTATCTGATGAATTAAGAGATCTAATTACCAATATTCAGCTGTCAATTCCGAAGCATTCTGATGGTAATATTTGATAGAAAATTTTCAATATCTTTAAAGAGAAAAAAATACCTTATTAATTCTGAAGACCTATCTATAAACATTTTTATGATTTTTAGGATCTTTAATTGAAAAAAAATCATTGCCTTTCCATTTGGAAAATGATATAATTCTTTATAAGAATGGTGTATTTCAAGATAACAACATCACTATGTGTTCAATTTGTCAAAATTGTTCTGAAGCTCTTTCTAAAGGGAAATTCCAAAATTTTCAGCAGCAAACAACATGTGGTTAGGCAATATACCTATTGAGTTACAAGAGCTAACAATTCCTGAACAAAAGTTAATATCGTTACATCGTCATAATAGTTGTGTAATAAAA